CCGATCTGCTGGGCTCTATCTTTGCATCCAATTCGACTCTTAGTGTCGAGCCCTCTTCTCCCTGGACATCAACAAGTCAAGTGGGCCTGATGGCGTATCTCTTATTGTGCTGAAGACGTGTGCTCCGGCGTTGGCACCGGTTTTAACGCGTCTTTTCCGGTACTCCTACTCCCTAGGCGTAGTCCCGAAAAAATGGAAGACTTGATCCATCTAACTAAAGGTTTTTTGCTATCATCTCCTTGTACTCCAAAATAATGGAATCCATTTAAAATGCCAGCTCAGGAGGTACCTTGAGGATCACCAGCTGATTAGTGCCCGTTAGTACGGTTTTCGTCGAGGTCGCTCAGCTGGTGATCTTCTTCACCTAACTCATAGATGGGCGGGGGCAGTAGAGTCAGAGAGGAGACGTTAGCCAATAGTTTATACATAGCGAAGGCCTTCCATCGGGTTTGGTACAAAGCACTTCTTACGAAGCTGCCTTCCTATGGGCTTCCCGAGAAATAGTGCGATTAGATCACCAGTTTTCTTGCAGATCGGAGCATCAAGCATGCTCCGATTACAAGCCCATCAAAACTGGTGCTCTACAAGGCTGCGTGCTATCACCAACGCTTTTTCTTCTGCATAGCAATATGTTGCAAACCGGTAACATTCATTGCTTTGCGGACGACTGCACTGATGATGCTTCATACACCAGCCGTGCCAATATTTTTGGGGGAAATTTCGCCGAGTACCGGGAAAAATTGTGGCTGAAGTTGAGACTTTGTTGAACAAAGTCTCGGACTAGGGGCAACTGAATCTAGTCCGGTTCAATCCCCAAAAGACACAAGCTTACCGCTAAAAAGAACCCCTTCGTCATATCTCCTCAGTTTCAAGGCACTCCCCTTGTTGTCTTGGCCAGTATCGGAAGCATCAGCGTCGATATATCGAGTGACGTGCAGTTTCGTGGTCACTTGGAAGAGAAGGCCAAACTGGTTTCTAAAAAGCTTGGCCTGCTCAGCAGAGCGGGACGGTATTTCATGCTGACACACCGCTTGCAATTTTACAAGACGAAGTTTCGGACGCACATAGAATACTGACTTCTCTTACTTGTCTCACTGACTCTGCGAAGATATGTTGTATGATTTTGCGTATTTTATCGCATTCACCACGGGGAATGCTCTGAGAAATTGTTCGGACTAATTATAGCCGCACAATTTCAACATCGCACATCGCGACATAACTCACGATACCATTCATACCATCTGGATGACGGGCGGTCCAACACTGTGCGATTTAAAAGAAGTATTCTTCCACGCACAACTTCCTTGTAGAATCGACTACCACAAGAGATTTTTCCCTATCAATATGACTAAGGGAACTTCATGAAAATTGCCTACTCCTTTTTTAAAGGCCGGCAACGCACCTGCAATCCCCCTGGTGTTGCAGTTGTTCATGGGCGGCGCTAATCACTTACCATCAGGTGAGCCGTGTGCTCTTTTGCCCCCTGTCCTATAAAAAAAATAGAACCATATTATAGCTACAGCGTTGTTCTACCACTTATGAAAATCTATTTTATATACTTTACTTCTTCAAATACAATGCGCTTAAGGTATAATAAGATAGTGGGTGCGTTTGGAGAAAAATATTTATTTAATTTGTTTGTTTTGAAGTAGAGTTTTTAAGTTGTTTTGTGCAATATTAGTTTTAAGTAATATAATATAATAAACATATACATGTTATTAAAAATTCATGATTGTTAAGTTTTTAATATGAATACTTTAAATTATTTTTGGGAATAAATATATAATAAAGCAAAATGTCAATATGACAGTGCTATTAAAGGAAACTAATTTTACGGATTTTAGCGCGTTTAATTGTAACTTTTTAATTCCTGACATTTCGAAGCTTTACAGCACGTAAAGCGGGGTCACGGGAGGGAGATGTATTGCAATAGTATGCTTTGGTTTGGATTTAATTTTATTAATTATGGGATCCCAAGCAGATGGTAGCAGCCAATCATTTTCTGTGTTGGTATTAGGTTTTTTTTACTTAACAGCTTCACTATTCACCATTGATAGGAATCGTGGTTCTTTTGCGAGGATTTGGGGTCTAGGGTGCAGTTCTAGGCATTAATGATGAAAAACGCTGGAAATTTAATGTGTAATATGACCGTAAATATAAGAATTGACATATACAGTGTTATTTTTATCATGTATGCATGCATATGCCTAGATCATATTATGTCAATAGAGATGCATAGTACCCACATAAAAAAGAAACGAAGGTTTTCAAATGTCCTCCTGAGTCTCTATAATTTATTAATATTATAAAGAGTTTCCAAATCATTTTATTACCTTTCAGTTATTATTTATGCGATTTCAATTATTTTAGATAGATATATAAACCAAAAGAGAAAATAATAATAAACTGTAATAAATGTCATTTAGGGTGAAGACAGCTGTAATCCCGAAAGCCGAGGGTAATCTTCGACTAGTAACGCACGGAATGACATTATCAGTAAGAATAATAGAAAAGTTAGGTGTAGGGGAGCGACCGCCCGAGCATTTGTCTGAATCTATCGCTACGCAGTAGGGCGACTATGATTTGTGGAGGAATTTTCATGGCCTGCAGCAGAGGTAACATTACGTGAAATTTTAGTTTACTTGTCGCTTCAAATTAATACAAATATTGTCTCGCTCATTTGGCACTACGGTAGGGTGGTGTAAGTTTGCGCAATTTCGAATAATTCGGTCATAAAAATAAAATACACGAATTAATCACAGGTTTCTTTATTATTATTAAATTACAACTTAGGACTACAAAAACCTTGATCCCACCTGGACTTCCCGTTTTCTTCCGTAAGTCAATATTTTTTCGGGAGTGCATGCTGGCATCCAAAGCAATCAAAACACAACTGAAGTTGGCAGAGTGTTTTGCACTGTTGTAGAATAACGACGAGTGCGCAATCTTATCGTCTGCGCAATCTTACACCACCCTACCCCACTCACTGCTGCCGGTATAGGGTAGTGTTTGCTGTTAATGAAATGATTATACCAGTATCTGTATATATCAGTATTTATCTTATGATACCTACAGGCTGAAATAGAGCGATGCATTAATTTTTCAAATCATATTGGTTGTTAAATCAAATCTAATGAAGCTTATCATTACAGATTTTATAGCATTTAATTTACTTATTTTTATAATTCTAAGGTCAAGGTGTTTCTTTAAAGCAACGCAGTGAGAACGTTGGGATTGTAAAATAAGTAAGAGGAACGCGTTAAATCTGTACAAATCGAAAGCCTACTAACTTCCAGATTTATGTCCACCCTACTATTATACAGTGTCTCCACCTCATCAATTCGCTGGAACGTGCGGATACCGTTCAGATAGAAATAACGTCTGTTAGGGCGCGATTTAGCACTTCAGACGTAATGGGGCGATGCTTCCGGTGGACTCTAATTTTATGGCTACTGTATTTTGTATAATAATACAATTTAATTCTTTTTCCTTTTTGAGTTGTTTATTTATGCTAGTGTAAATTTTGCAGAAAATTTCAATTGTTTTCATATTTATTATGAAATTATCATTGAAAATCATCACAGATTAAATTAATCTAGAATCGCCCACATTGCACACATAATCAAGTTGGTGTTGCTCACGCTACTACACGCATGTGAATAGAGTGTATATTATTTAATCAATTTGAGTAAAAATTTCATAGTGTAATATATCATATATTTGTACGTAGCATCGTCTGAATTCTCTTATGCACAGAAAATATGTTTTATAAGCACAATTCCGACGTCGGCTGTCGAACGACTCCTTCTAAAATCAAATTGACTTTTATATAGCAAAATAGAGATCTGACCTAAAATAATTTTTTCAAAAAATTTACTTAATGTTGGTAGTGCAGAAATCTGTCTTAAATAGGCGGGGTAATGTACTGCCAGATTCAAAAAAAATATGATTTTAAAAAAATAAAGTGAAAAATACGTTTAATTAAATCAGGAAATACACCAGATTCGGCGCTTGTATTAAAAATGGTGGCTAGATAAGGTGCTATTGTATCTATTATGTATGTCTATTATGTAGATGTAATAACTTTAACGTAAATTCCCCATAGTTCTGATGTTTTATTAAAATATTCAATAATTTTCAAATATTTAACGATATCTTTTGGCAATACACTATGGAATTTAAAAGTATTTGAACAAGACTTTACATTTTGTTAAGGCAATGATTCGTCGGCAGTAGGAGAAGAATTTAACGGTTTTGTTGTCAAAAAAGGAACATCAGTAAAATGTTGCTGAAAAGCCATAGCAACTTATTAATCAGATTGAGTTAAATGATTGTTAATATTCAATTGAAAATCCGAGTTGCATGTTTTGACCCTAGCCCGTTTCACTATTAATTATATTCCACGTTTTTTTTTGTAGGATAGGGTGACAAACGAGCACACAGTCCACCTGATGGTAAGTGGTTGCTGTGGCCCATAGACATCTACATCTATCCTCGATTACGAATCAAAATGCAGATGCGTTGTCACCCGTGAGGACTAAGATGGAATGCCTCGTTTCCAGTAAAAAGGGTCACCGGTTCTCTACACTCACCATACGAAATACAGCAGCATTAAGCTACTATTTCACGCTGGTATTCTGTGAGAGCGTGGTCCCTCCCCGGTCGAGCCGACCCATTCGTGCTACAACTGTACTACTAATATAACTGCAGCATGGCTCTACCACGTATGAAAACGAACGTCAACTTTACATGTCATTTTTAATGTCAATATATTATCTATGTACACTTTACGTAAGTAAGATGTTTCGCATCTGCTATCATTTTGTATTTAGCACCCAGGATTGACCGGCAGTGAATGCAACATGGCATTAAGTCCACCCTCCGTGCCCTTGTGTATAAGTTTTTAAATAAACGATAAATAATCGTGTAAATATATATCTAGTTATTGCAGCATTGTATGTCGGGAGGTTTGTTATTTAAAGATTCAATTTCGTCAACAGACACGAGCTACTCCTACCATCCAGCCATCCACGATGACACTTTCGTACGTCGGAAACAACGTCGCAACAGAACAACATTTACGCTACAACAGGTGAGATTTTGTTTGTTAATAGTTACCATCCATTTTATAAAAATCCACTACTGAAACTATAAATTGCCTCCCCTATAGGTTGGCTCATTGGGGCGGACCGTGTAGTGCGGTATTAGAATATCCACTACCCCATACGGATATTGAAACCGGAATCGGGCAGCAGTATGAATGATAACAATTCAAAATTATAAAAACTGTGGTTGCTGTGGCTTATGTATATACATTGTTTTTATTGCTAAAAACAAAATTGCCCGTCGTTCTTTTGTTTTTCTGTCAAGAAATTCTCTTTGATTGTTGTTTACGTTCACTCCTGTGTCTCGGAAAACACGAATAGCTGTTGGTCCTGTACCAAGTCGTGTCGGATTGCCGTTTCATACGACTATGAGAGTGAGGGAATATAAAGTGCACCTGTGCACACACACACACACACACACACACACACACACACATTCATGCACTATTAATCTTGTCCTAGTCTCAGTTAAGACTAGCCGCTGAGATCGAAATTTGATTTGGAGGACATTATTCATTATTGCCGAAAATAACAGATAAGTAAAAGATTAACAAAGTTCAAATATAAATTAAAAAGTTAACTTCAAATGATTCTTACAATGTCAAAAATCTATGACCAGCACTCGACGTTATGGTCCAACAATTTAAAACATCCTACATCAACACCTTGGCATGACTAAAGTCTATGCAAGATGGGTTCTGAGAATGCTTTCTGCGCATCAGAAACACGAGCACGTCGAAAGTAGTCGCGAGTTTTTGGACCATTGTGGGGAGCAAAGGGAGGACGTTATGGTCTGAATTGTAACTGACGATGAAACTCGGGTTCACCATTATGAATCTGATTCAAAGCAAGAGTCGATGCAGTGGTATAAAAAGGCACAGCCCTCCTAAGAAGTATAAGGTATCTCAATCGGCCGGAAAGATCATGGCGACGATCTTTTGGGATATAGAAGGTATCCTATTGATAACATATATAAAATGGTCATTCATCACTTTTCGGCATGGCATTAACTGTAAAAGTCACAAGGTCTTGTATATTTTACAAATTATTCATCTGCAAATAGTGCCATATTACATAAAAAGATTTTCATAGACTAGGTTTTAAGTTTTTAGTAATTTTAAACTTAGTTTTATAGTAATATGTATTTATTCAAATTAATGAGAATAAAACTGTCTATCAAATACACGCATATAGATGTAGCGCTTTATTACAGCTGGAGGAACTGGAAACGGCGTTCGCGCAAACGCATTATCCCGACGTGTTCACTAGGGAAGATCTCGCGCTTAAGATCAACCTTACAGAGGCTCGGGTCCAGGTATGTTGAAGTTTATTACTGTTTGTTTATATCATAGTTAAGTTTAAATAAATCATAAACAATAAGGACATTTGTAGATTATTGCTAGCGTTGATTATGAAAGATTGATGATATCATCAATTATTAATAACTAAAGAATATGAAAGTAATAATTGGGTCAATATTTTTTGGGTCTGTTTCGACTATTTCTGCACCTCGGATTTAGGACAATTCACAATCTGTGCCGAAACGGCAAAAAATAGAAATATAAAAAAGCAGGCTGGTTTTTTTCGTCATAATACGAGTATGTACTATACGTGGTAGAGCCATGCTGCAGTTATATTAGTAGTATAGTTGTAGCGCGAATGGGTCGGCTCGACCGGGGAAGGACCGCGCTCTCACAGAATACCAGCGTGAAATAGTAGCAGTAGCGTGAAGCAGTAGCTTAATGCTGCTGTGTTTCGTATGGTGAGTGTAGAGAACCGGAGACCCTTTTTACTGGAAACGAGGCATTCCGTCTTAGTCCTCACGGGTGGCAACGCGTCTGCATTTTGATTTGTAATCGAGGATGGATGTGGATGTCTATGGGCCGCAGCAACCACTTACCATCAGGTGGACTGTGTGCTCGTTTGTCAGGCATGCCAATTTTCAAGATTCCTATGTTAATATTGTTAATATTGTTTCTTATTCTTTTAAGAATAAAAAAGTAATATAAGTTAGTTAAAAATTACTTCTAATGGTTTTATGCGAAATATTTCTGATGTATCCGTGTTATAATTACGTAAATTACAAAATTCCACCACATTTTGGTGGTGGTTTAAGAGAATCCCTATTTCATCCCGTGGATGTCTTAAGAGGCGACTACGGGAAATGTCAGAAAAATGAGCGCATACTACTTCAGCTCAAATTCTAATTTTACCCCCACTTCCCCACGCCACTTGTTCACACACTACTGCTCGCGGTCATGCGTGAATACGAGGGTAAAGGAATTTCTAGTATAGGTTGACCTCTCATTGTACGGAAAGGCTATACAATGCGAGATCAGCTTATACTGTAACTTTATCTAAATAAAATTGTCAAGTGCAAAACGAGGTTTTTTCGTATTTTTCTTTAATCGATATATTTTTTAGAGAATCGTGTTTTTGCTTTGATAGATTTTAAGACTATAAGTCCAAGTTTAATGTGTCCAAATAGCAAACTGTTAGGTGTTATAGATTCCGAGATCCAGATCGCTCAATATCACCAAAACAGCATCATGTGGACTCGACGGTATTAACCATTTCGTTTATGCCAGACCAAACAAGAAAGACTGAGACCGGTGACGGATACGAGACGTTTGATACTGCAATCGTCATTCTGCTTGCCGAGCTTGATGATAACGGCAAAAGCTTCTTACGAGCAAAAACTGCATTAGAGCTTTATGGGAAGTTGAAAAAGTGTTATAATATGGGTATAGCTTTGATTTGATCCGCCCTTCCTTTTTGTTGACTAATTGTGCTGTCATAAATCGTATAAAAGCAATATAATAAAGTGACTAACACAATGTCTTTTTGTGTTAGTCACTTTATTATATTATAGTGATTATTAGGTGCCATGTTGGTCTGGGACTTATGGGGACCTAGAAAAAAGAACGTGCCAGCTGTGATATTGGTCTAGCCGGTGGCAAAAGGTGACTAATGGTATATTGGGTTTGTGATTCACCTATCATTTTTTCACAATTCTCCATCTAAGCCCATATTTTTTGGCTAAACGTGGTCCAAGTAGCTTACTGCACTTTGAACTCTGATTACCTCCACGGGGATTACAGGTGTGACGCTGTCTGAAACTAAATGTATAAGATTTACAACAACAGAAGTTAAAAATATGAAAGTAAAATGCGCTTTAAAAAGGGGAAAGTTGATCCTGGTTGATTTCACTGTTTTCCTTTCTGTTGAAACGTAATTTCAGTGGGCCCTTTCAGACTAAGCTCTGTAATAATGCTGTAAAAATTAGAAGTATTACCAGTGTTGAAAGAACTACATTAGTTTATTTTAGTTATTTTTATAGCAGAATTTCGTATGTAGTTGTTGAGTAAACTTAGTTTTCTAAGCAATAGATTTTCTTTTATGTCTTGGAGACCGTCTGCTACTACTATCTTATCTATTTCCGCCGCCAAAAAGCAGAGTTTGCACTGGTGTGTTTCGGTCTGAAGCATAGAGCCAGTATAATAACAGACCGTGAGGCATTTTATCTTAATTCTCAGAGGTCTCAGCATCCGTAGCCTTCTATGTTGGAAGTTGTGCTGTCAGGTCAGTAAGTTCCTTTTAATTCAGTAAACTTAAAGTCATACTTGTATGTTTTTTATAGCATTAGGTGACAAACGAGCACACAGTCCACCTGATGGTAAGTGGATGCTGTGGCCCATAGACATCCACAATTATCCTCAATTAAAGATCATAATGCAAATGCGATGTCACCCTTGAGGACTGAGATGGAATGCCTCGATTCCGGTAAAGTGGGTCTCCGGTTCTCTATACTTACCATACGAAATACAGCAGCATTACGCTGCTATTTCGCGCTGTTGTTTTGTGAGAGCATAGTCCTGGCCCGGTAGAGCTGAACCATTCGTGCTACAACTATAATATAGCTGCAGCGTGGTCCTACCACGTGAATTGTTAATAAATACCTATACTTATATATTATGAGTTCAGAATAAACATTGACCAACGAGGGTCCTCGCACAGAATATCCCCGAGAATCAAGTAGATTGTATGTTTTTTTTGTCGGTGTTGACCTTGTTAGTTAGCTTTACTTCTATAAAAATCCAGACAATGAACAAAACCCATAAAATGTTTAGAAGATGGATCTCTAAGTACATCAACTGTGTATACGGTTTATACGGTCTAGTCGACTCCCATTACTACATTCGAAATAAAGCGTCATATCTAATTTACCTCGCCTTAAAAACTATGAAGTCGTAAACTTATGAATGGTTTACGAGCGTAGCGTGGCGACGGCGACGCCATCTATGTAACGTGGCTGGAACGTTATTGGTGTCGGCTGACGGGGTTTATGTCCGACCTACGCTTGTAAATTCATGATTTAACTGTCACTCGTGTATGTACGCGAAGTTATGAATAACAGCTACATTTGTGTAAGATGATTCTTACAGTTTTAAGATTTTGTTTAACTTTTTTAGAGTTTTTTTTATAGCATTGGGTAACAAGCTCACAGCCCACATGATGGTAAGGGGATGTTGTGACCCATACCCACATTTATCCTCATTTAGGAATCAAAATGCAGATGCGTTGTCAACCCAGAGGACTAAGATAGAATGCCTCATTTACAGTAAAAAGGGTATCCGGTTCTCAACACTCACCATACGAAACACAGCAGCATTGAGCTGGTATTTTACACTAGTATTCTGTGAGAGCGTGGTCCTTCCCCGGTCGAGTCCACCTATTCGTGCTACAACAATATTATAGCTGCAGTGTGGCTCTACCATGTAAAGTGTAAATTTGATTTTTTTCTTCAGATTTTCGCGTGGTAGAACTAAGTTGCAGTTGTATTACCATTATAGCACGAACAGGTCGGCTCGACCGGGAAAGAACCCCACAGGATATTAGTTCTTTTTCTACGGATTTTTTAAGTATTAGAGCTAAGTTGCAGTTGTATTATGACTGGATGGAAAAAACCAGGCTCTCACAAAATAGAGAAATAAAGCCGTGGTAGCTCAGTGGTTAACGCTCGCTGTAAATATAACAGAACGCGAGTAACCCGGGTTCGATCCCCGCCGGCACCAATGAAATTGTTAATTGCAATTTTAAGTGCTGATTCACCACGTGCTCGACGGTGAAGGAAAACATCGTGAGGAAACCTGCATCTCTGAGGAATAAAAAAAAATATTTCGAAGACATGTGAAGTTCGTCAACACGCATTTGGGCAGCGCGGCGGACACTTCCTTGCCCTAAAACCCTCTCAGAAATGAGGGGAGGCCTGAGCCCAGCAGTGGGACGTATATAGGCTGTAACTTTACTTTACTTTCTCACAAAATATCAGAATAGTAGCAATGTAATGCAGAGTAATGGTAACTAGTTTTCATGGCTTACAATGTAGGTATTCGCATTTCGATTCTCGATCGAGGTTTTCATACGTAGGTGTCTATGAGCCACAACATCAATCTACCATCAGGTCTACTGAGTGCTTTTTTATCACCCTTTATATCGACTGTAAATACAGCGTTATTTTTATGATCAATTAAATTGCTTTTTTTATCCTTTTTAATATTTTTCATCAGCCTGTATAAGTTCATTGCGGGACATAGGCCTATCCAGTTGTAGTGAAAATTTGCTTTATATGTCACCCGGATTAAATTCGACGGCGTGTTGACGGTCGTTGTAGCAGACGTCTTGCATCTTCGACGCTGCTACCCGTAGCCAGTCTTGGTATTTTACGTCTGACGTTAACAAGATGATCCTATCGCCCGCCATCTATCAAAAGCCATCACATTTTTTTAAATGGAACAAGGGTGAAAAACGAGTACACAGTCCACTTGATGTTACTTATGTACTATGGCTCTCAGACGTCCTCCACTAAAAATCAAAATGCAGAAAGATGCGTTGTCAGCCCTGAGGACTAAGATGGAATGCCTCGTATCCAGTAAAAAGAGTTTTCCGTTCTCTACACTCTCTATGGGAAACACAGCGGCATTAATCTGCTTTTTTTACGCTGGTATTTTGTGAGAGCGTGGTCCTTCCCCGGTCCAGCTTGCTCATTCGTGCTACAACCATAATATAGCTGCGGCATGGCTCTACCACATGACACTTTCCATAGTCACTGCTTAGGACACCCACCGAACGAAATGAGGCGATGGATTCATTAACACGGCAACGATATGGCACCAAGGCTTTTATGTATAGACTATTACGTCATTTATATCAATGCTATTACAATTTTTTTTAAATTCTTTTTTTAATTGAGGGCCTTTATACTAAGTTGTTTCAAAAATAGTTTATGTATTTCTAGGCTATATGTATGTGAGA